CCACCAAGAGCAGCACTAGGCGACAGAGGCAAGGAAAAACTTCCTTTAAGAGGCAGAAACCTCGAGCAGAACCATGGCTCAGGGTGGGCGGCCGAGAGAGAGAGAGAGGGAGGGAGAGAGAGAGAGAGAGAGGGAGAGAGATGTAAGGAGAGAGAGAGAGAAAAAAGAGAGAAAAGAGAGGGATGGAAGGAGAGAGAGAGAGAGAGAGAGGGGAGGGAGGCAGCCTACACAATATACACACAGAGGTACAGACAGTAAAGGTGATGTTGCTATAGACTAAATGAAAAATGGTACAGATATTTATAGCAGTGTTAATGATAACAATCGTAATGTTAATGATTATAATAACAATAGGACTAGCAACAATAGTCGTTGCAGCAGAGGGTGTCGAGCAGGAACACGGGGGCAGCAGGTGACCCGCAACCACAGATCCAGACTCCACAGCTCCAGAGCCAGAAACACCTGCAGGAAGTGATAGGAGAGAGGAGAGGGACGAGAAAGCACAAGACTACCAGAAAGGGGAGAAGTTGTGTTAGTAACATGCAATAATGGGATGAGGTTGCATACAGAGGGAGAGAAAGTAGAGGAGAGAGGAGCTCAGTGCATCATGGGAAATCCCCCAGCAGTCTAGGCCTATAGCAGCATAACTAAGGGATGGTTCAGGACTCACCTGAGCCAGCCCTAACTATAAGCTTTATCAAAGAGGAAAGTCTTAAGCCTACTCTTAAATGTGGAGATGGTGTCTGCCTCCTGAACCCAAACTGGAACCTGGTTCCACAGGAGAGGAGCTTGATAGCTGAACGCTCTGGCTCCTAGTCTACTTTTGGAGACTCTAGGAACCACAAGTAATCCTGCATTCTGGGAGCGCAGTGCTCTGGTGGGGTAGTAAGGTACTATGAGCTCTTTAAGATAAGATGGTGCCTGACCATTAAGAGCTTTGTAGGTAAGAAGAATGATTTTAAATTCTATTCTGGATTTTACTGGAAGCCAATGCAAAGAAGCTAAAACAGGAGAAATATGATCTCTTTTCCTGGTTCCTGTCAGAACAGGTGCTGCAGCATTCTCAATCAGCTGAAGAGTCTTAATGGACTTTTTCGAGCAGCCTGATAATAAGGAATTGCAGTAATCCAGCCTAGAAGTAACAAATGCATGGACTAGTTTTTCTGCATCATTTTTAGACAGGATGATTTTCGCAATATTACGTAGGTGAAAAAAGGCGGTCCTTGAAATTTGCTTAATGTGAGACTTAAACGACATGTCCTGATCAAAGATAACTCCAAGATTCCTCACAGTGCTGCTGGAGTCCAGGGCGATGCCATCCAGGGAAACTATATCTTTAGATAATGCGTCACGGAGGTGCTTAGGCCCCAGAACAATAACTTCAGTTTTATCTGAGTTTAACATTAGAAAATTACACGTCATCCAGGTTTTAACATCCTGAAGGCACATTTGAAGTTTAGCTAACTGATGAGTTTCATCTGGTTTGATCGATAGATATAACTGAGTATCATCTGCATAACAATGAAAGCTTATGGAATATTTCCTGATAATATTGCCTAAAGGAAGCATATATAAAGTGAAGAGGATTGGTCCGAGGACAGATCCTTGAGGAACTCCATGACTAACTTTGGCATGCATGGAGGACTCATCGTTAACATGTACAAACTGAAATCGATCTGATAAATAGGACTTAAACCAGCTTAGAGCGGTTCCTTTAATGCCAATGAAATATTCCAGTCTCTGCAATAGGATCTGATGGTCAATGGTATCAAATGCAGCACTAAGATCTAATAAAACCAGTACAGAGACAAGTCCTTTGTCTGATGGAATAAGGAGGTTGTTAGTAATTTTCACCAGTGCTGTCTCTGTGCTATGATGAGCTCTAAATCCTGACTGAAAATCCTCAAATAAACTATTGCTCTGTAAAAAGTCACACAGCTGTTTAGCAACTGCTTTCTCCAGAACCTTAGAGAGAAATGGAAGGTTAGATATAGGTCTATAGTTGGCTAAAACATCCGGATCAAGTTTGGGCTTTTTCAGAAGAGGTTTAATTACAGCTGCTTTAAAGTACTGTGGTACATAGCCTGTTGATAAAGATAGATTAATCATATCTTGTGGAGAAGTGCTGAGTAAGGATAAAACATCTTTAAGCAACCTAGTCGGGATGGGGTCTAAGAGGCAGGTTGATGGTTTAGATGAAGAAATAATTGAAGTTAATTGGTAAAGATTGAGGGAAGCAAAATAGTCTAAACATGTATCTGGTTCTACAGCTGTTTCTAAGGTTCCTGAGTTTAGAGATAAGTCGGTGCCAGTTGAGGGCAGGTCTTGGTGAATTTTGTTTCTAATTGTTAGAATTTTATCATTGAAGAAGCTCATGAAGTCGTAACTACTGAGAGCTATGGGAATACTTGGCTCAATAGAGCTGTGACTCTCTGTCAGCCTGGCTACAGTGCTGAAAAGAAACCTGGGGTTGTTCCTATTTTCCTCTATTAATGACGAGTAGTACGCTGCTCTGGCATTACGGAGGGCCTTCCTATAAGTTTTAAGACTATCTTGCCAAATTAAACGAGAGTTTTCCACTTTGGTGGAACGCCAATTCCTCTCAAGTTTCTGCGATATTTGCTTTAATCTGCGAGTTTCAGTATTATACCATGGAGCTAACCGTCTTTGTTTTAGTATTTTCTTTTTTAGAGGGGCTACAGAGTCGAGTGTCATTCGCAGCGAGCCTGCAGCACTATCAACAAGATGATCGATTTGGGAGGGACTGAAATTAGCATAGGAGTCCTCTGTTACTTTGTGACTTGATAATGAATTTAGAGCTGATGGAATCGCATCCTTAAATTTAGCTACAGCACTATCGGACAGACATCTTGTATATAAATATTTGCCCAATGGCGTGTAGTTCAGCAATACAAACTCAAAAGTTATCAAACAGTGGTCGGATAAAGAGGGATTCTGTGGGAACACCACTAAATGTTCAATTTCAATACCATACACCAAAACAAGGTCGAGGGTGTGGTTAAAACAGTGAGTCGGTTCATGAACACTCTGAGAGAAGCCAATGGAATCTAAGAGAGAGATAATGAATGTGAGTATTAATATGACTGGGAGGGGTGGATTCTTTAGGCTAACATATTCTCCATCACCCAGCCAGGTTTCAGTAAGACAAAATAAATCAATATCATAATCTGATATTAGTTCATTTACTAGTTCACCTTTAGAAGAGAGAGATCTGATGTTTAAGAGTCCACATTTAACTCTCCTATAAGTTTGCACTATTGCTCTTGTGGTTTTAATTTTTATGAGGTTTTTATGCACAGCTCTTCTTCTGTTTACCTTTTTAAATAATTTCAATGGTCGGGGGGCAGACACCGTCACTATAGGATTTTCACTAAGTAACTCCTGAAATGGAGGAGCAGAGAAGTGTGTTAAACTGCGACTCTGCCTCCTGGTCTCAACTCTGGGTTGTCATGGATTTGGTCCACTAATAAACTTGGCCAGATTTCTATAAATGAGAGCTGCTGCTTCCCAAGTGGGATGGATGCCGTCTCTGGTCAGATTTGGCAGGGGTCCAGAGAAAACTACAGTGTCCGACATTGTTTTTGCATATGTACACACCGACTCAACATTAATCTTAGTGACCTCCGATTGGCGTAACCGGGAGTCATTACCGCCGACGTGAATAACAATCTTACTGTATTTACGTTTATCCTTAGCCAGCAGTTTCAAATAAGACTCAATGTCGCCCGCTCTGGCCCCAGGGATGCACTTAACTATGGCCGCTGGCTTCACTAACTTCACGTTTCTCAAAATGGAGCTGCCAATGATCAGAGTTGGTTTCTCAGCGGGTGTGTCGCTGAGTGGGGAAAATCTGTTAGAAACGTGAACAGGTTGATGATGCCCCGTGGACTTTGAATGCTTACGACTATTACTCCATAGGACAGTCACCCAGCCCCCCCCCCTTCCTGGCTGCACAGGGGATGCCGGGGGACGGCTACCAGAGGCTAACTCAGGCCGTTCCGCACCGACTACCGGGGACTGGCTAGCTACAGTAGCTAAAGACTGATCTACCAAGGTGCAGAGCCGGACTTCTAAATCACTGAGCCTCGCCTCCATGTCTATAAATAAACTACACTTATTACACGTACCATTACTGCTAAAGGAGGCAGAGGAGTAACTGAACATCTGACACACCGAGCAGGAGAGAGAGAGGGAGAAGGAGAAGCCATCACTAGATGCTAAGCTAAAGTCGCTAACGGCTAAGCTAAAGTACTGTAGCATCAGCTACCAAAACTTTAGAACAAGTATGAGATTGAACAGCAGTCACTAAAAGATGGAAAGAAGTGTGAGTGCTTAGGCAAAATTACTGTAAAGAATAAGTGTTTATCGGACAGTTGGCCGCTGTAATCTAACAAATGTAACTGGTATTTAGTGAGAGCAGCACAACATGGTACCAACACACAAGCACCGGACACGGAAATGAGTCGACACGCTTACCGCAGTACGTCAGCAACCTCGTCAATGGTTTATAAATAATGAATTCCGTATTTACTAATACTTCACTAATGCTTTACAGTGTGTAGTTATTATAAAGTGCTATATTTCTTTGTTTCTGTTGGTTTCAATGTGTTTTCACAAATAATGTCTGATCACTGATATTGATCCTTCAGAACACACACACACACACACACACACACACACACACACACACACACACACACACACACACACACACACACACTGGCCTGAGATCAGCAGCATGTTATTGATCTGTGTTGACATGAATAGGTGTATGAATGTTGTGCTGACATTTGGATGATGTCTGTAGAAGGCTGACATTATGATGATCCACAATAACACAAAGACAAAGTCACTCTACTCATTTTAGGGAAAAGCTCATTGATTAGGACATAGTAATGTTGAGCTCCACATTTAAAACCTGAACACATCTGATTGGATTAGAAATGGATTTTTATCTCCATCATTTATTCTTTATTCAGATTTTGCGGCTGCAGTTTGTCAGAGATCAGCTGTGCTTCTCTGGCCTCAGCTCTGAAGTCCAACCCCTCCCATCTGAGAGAGCTGGACCTGAGAGGAAACTACGAGCTGCAGGATTCAGGAGTGAAGCTGCTGTGTGGTTTTCTGGAGGATCCACACTGCGGACTGGAGACTCTGAGGTCAGTTCACTGACTCTCTGTTACTCTTGTAGATCTGATATGTTTAATTAACAGTTGATTGATGTTTGGTAAGTGCACCAACAAACTGGGCGAGCTGGTGAGGAAGGCCAGCTCAGTGGTGGGGATGGAAGTGGACAGTGTGGAGGCAGTGACTGAGAGGAGGATGAGAGGGAAGCTGAAAACCATCATGGACAACCCCTCTCATCCTCTCTATGTTGAGCTGAGGCAGCTCAGGAGCTCCTTCAGCCACAGACTCATCCAGCCCCGAGCCTCAAAGAGCTTTGGAGGCTCATTTGTGCCGTCAGCCATCAGGCTCCACTAGGGGTGTGGAAAATAACTGATCTTTAGATGCATCGCGATGCGGACTTGGACGATTCTGAATCCATTGACAAATGTCAGTAATGGATTATCTAGAGGTTAACTGATAATATAATGTTGAAGAAACGAAAAAGGCATGTATAACATGTATAATCATAAATACTCTAAATAAAAATACCTCTGAAGGTACTACATGTGCTTACACATCCAAAAGTACTTCCAGAGATTAGTTTGAAACCAGGACACAACAAAATACTGTTGAACAGTTCACAACATCCTCCGACTGCTTTTAACCTACAGTATTTGGTTTTAACCCGCCCATTTAAGCTAGCATCACGCTGCACTTTTAGCGCTCTGCTAAAGGTTACAAACTTTACTCACCGGAGTTTCCAGGAATAAAAAAAACACCTTCAGCAAATGGCGGCTTTCAGAAATCTGGAGTGATGCTGTTTTTACACTTAAGACCTGCTTCTGAATACTTTTTAACTATTTCTCAAAGCTGGAAAAATTTAAAATTGTAACAGCTGGTATGTAGTTGCCACTTTTGGATAACATGTAGTATGACCTCAGAAAAACAATTAATATAAAGTTATTTCTACCAATATTTGTTTTAATTATAACTTTCATGGAGTCCTGTTGTAGGAAGCTAGCTTGTTTTGTTTAGGTGGCCTATTCTCTGCCTGTAAATTTTGATTAAATTAGAAAATATCATGTGGTGCGACCGCTGAAAAGTGGTTTCCATGATTGGCAATTTAGTTTTTGTCCTTTTATTTTCAATGTTTGACTTTTACATATAAAGTACTTTTATTGTAGTAGAATTTGAAATAGATTTTTCTAATTTGACACACTTTTTCTTACATTTCAGAAACAACGGATTATTTGTAGTCTTTGTACAATATCATGAGAAAAATGCCCCAAAAAAACATTTAGAACTTGTAATTCCACTTTGGTAACGAAGCAATATCAGTAATATTTATTAATATTTAATTGTTCTCAATCTACAGGCCTGTAAATCATGGGACGCTTTTGGTGACAGGAATGTTGATGAATACTCCTGTTTTTATCAATACTTCAATGTTTTGTCATTTGAAAATGTGTTTTAAAGATATCTATAAATAAAAGTCAGCATTTTAACAATACATATTGCCAAAATATGGAAATACGTCTATATTTGAAAATGTTGTATGATAACTGTTGTATTTTAGTTTATTTTCATCAGATTTACAGTTACAATTGCATTCTAGGTATATTAGAAGACATTCAGTTGCATTAAAATATAGCTTTTTCGTTATTGCATCTCCATGTAGTCTGTAAAAGTAAAATAAATATATTAATACACAATGGATTCATATTCCTTAGCTTCTGACTTTTCAAAGGAGACCAGAATTATGCATCTAGGCCAAATGGTTGAGGAGTTATTCCTGATTCATTTGGGTTTGTAATTTTAGGCGTTTTTTCTGGAAAAAGGGGCCTGTTTTCAACAGGTTAACGAGGGAGAGAGAGAGCGAGAGATCAACGAGCGAGAGGATGTGCTGCGCGAATACGCGCTGCCTGCAGCACAAATACAAAAATCAATATGTGCCGTTCAGCACTGATATTGTGGCAGGCCGCCACAAATAAATGAACGTACGGGAAACACTGTAACTTATCTGCTCATGTTCAAACCTTTCTGCACATTCAGAATCTCTCACACATATCTGTGTTCTCTGACATGCAAAGAAAAATGGGAATTCATAATATTTAACTACATGCCCTATACTGCATTATGTTAATGATTCGCTAAACTGAATGAGACGAGGAGGCGCTCATGCCGGGGGAAAACGAAACTAACCGACAGCACCTGTGATCAGACAGAAAGCTCACGAATAATTCAACACACTTAAACTTCAGCACCTCTGATAAAGTGCCGCTAAAAATCCCCACCAGAGCAAGTCAGGGCTTCAGTTTTTAACGTTACATTTTTAGAGCCTACTGAAACTACAGTATATTTTTTGGCACAAACTGTCTGCGACTCACAGCGCGAGGTGGGTCCACGTCACTCGCTGGTGTCGCAGCGAAGCTGCTTTCAGGGTGAGTCCGACAGCGGAATATCCCTCTTATAAATGTGTAACCACTGCGATAACAAGACGTTCACGGTGTATTCCTCAGAGAAATAAACACTTTTCCAACAAGAAAGAGAGCGTCAGTTTTCCAGAGTTTACACAGTAAACGCCATGTGGGTAAAGTCTTAGAGATGATACTCTGACTTCCTGTTCCCGTGAAGGCAGCAGGAAGCTGCACCACAAGTAGCTGACAGAGAAAAAATGCAGTCTCGTCCAGTGGCAGTGGACTAAACTGGCAGGCTTTAATGTTGCAGACCACAGTTGTTTGCAGGTAGTTTAAAGTTTAAACTCGTATTGTTGTGAATCTTAAGTGTAAACTCGCCTTAGAATTTCCAACCAACGAACGCCCCGCAAAAGCAGCTCAGCGCCCCTTATCGTCCTCGGAACGCCCCCGTTGAGAAACACTAGTGTAGACGCCCGTCCTCACTTGATTTATTGTGCTGCTTTACGACCCATGTTTAGGTTTTTAACGACCTCTATTGGCCGTGTTGGCTGAGTCAAACCCAGGACTTTCACACAGGAGAACCGCGTTCCATTCCCCTGTGAAATCAAGTAAATGTAGAGTTATTTTCAGTTTGAAGCCAACTTTAGCCCTAACAAAATGTAGCAAAGCATTTATTTCAACAGAAATGGTGGTGCCTTGAACATCCTGTTGCGTACGCCAGCCACTGGACTTCACTGTCTTTTAAATGTGGCTGCTGATTGGGTAACACCTCTGACACACCCAATAAATGAGGAAAAACATACCTGCAGTTAATGAAATTAGATTAAATATATTGTCAAGTTATGTTTGTTCTTCTATGTTTGTTCTTTTAAATTTTAATAATGATATCTGGTAAAATATATTTTTTGTTTAGAAGTTTTTGTTCATTGATCTCCTTAAATATATTTTTTAATGATATGCAGTGTTCATGTCATTTGGAGCGACCACTCATCATGTGGTGCGACCAATAATAACAATAACTGTATTAAATTAAAAATAAAATATCTCATTCCTGTGACTGAAATATTAATTACTGATACAGTAAGTTTAGGTGAATGGTATTTTTTAAACATTTTTATCAGTTTTATTCAATTTACAGAGAAAATTAATCAATTAACTACATATAAGAAGGGGATTGTGACATTATAGAGCAAAATATAAGATCATTATTTACAAAAACCCAAAAGAAAAGCAAATACATTGTATCTAAAACCTTTAATTTACTGAGAACTTGTAAAAACTGTTTTTACTGAAATTAATTAATTATAAAATAAATTATGGTCGCACCACATGACATTTTGTAAGGCCACAAACAGTTTATGTAGCTGAAAAAACACTAAAATCATTTAATTTGAAAAAACTACATTCATTTTTGTGTACACAGCATTCTTAATGGCCTGAGATCAGCAGCATGTTATTGATCTGTGTTGACATGAATAGGTGTATGAATGTTGTGCTGACATTTGGATGATGTCTGTAGAAGGCTGACATTATGATGATCCACAATAACACAATGACAAAGTCCCTCTACTCATTTTAGGGAAAAGCTCATTGATTAGGACATAGTAATGTTGAGCTCCACATTTAAAAGCTGAACACATCTGATTGGATTAGAAATGGATTTTTATCTCCATCATTTATTCTTTATTCAGATTGAGGCGCTGCAGTTTGTCAGAGATCAGCTGTGCTTCTCTGGCCTCAGCTCTGAAGTCCAACCCCTCCCATCTGAGAGAGCTGGAGCTGACCTGGAACAACCTGCAGGATTCAGGAGTGAAGCTGCTGTGTGGTTTTCTGGAGGATCCACACTGCGGACTGGAGACTCTGAGGTCAGTTCACTGACTCTCTGTTACTCTTGTATATCTGATATGTTTAATTAACAGTTGATTGATGTTTGGTAAGTGCACCAACAAACTGGGCGAGCTGGTGAGGAAGGCCAGCTCAGTGGTGGGGATGGAAGTGGACAGTGTGGAGGCAGTGACTGAGAGGAGGATGAGAGGGAAGCTGGAAACCATCATGGACAACCCCTCTCATCCTCTCTATGCTGAGCTGAGGCAGCTCAGGAGCTCCTTCAGCCACAGACTCATCCAGCCCCGAGCCTCAAAGAGCTTTGGAGGCTCATTTGTGCCGTCAGCCATCAGGCTCCACTAGGGGTGTGGAAAATAACTGATCTTTAGATGCATCGCGATGCGGACTTGGACGATTCTGAATCCATTGACAAATGTCAATAATGGATTATCTAGAGGTTAACTGATAATATAATGTTGACGGAACAAAAAAGGCATGTATAACATGTATAATCATAAATACTCTAATAAAAATACCTCTGAAGGTACTACATGTGCTTACACATCCAAAAGTACCTCCAGAGATTAGTTTGAAACCAGGACACAACAAAATACTGTTGAACAGTTCACAACATCCTCCGACTGCTTTTAACCTACAGTATTTGGTTTTAACCCGCCCATTTAAGCTAGCATCACGCTGCACTTTTAGCTCTCTGCTAAAGGTTACAAACTTTACTCACCGGAGTTTCCAGGAAAAAAAGTGGCAAATGGCGGCTTTCAGAAATCTGGAGTGATGGTGTTTTTACACGTAAGACCTGCTTCTGGGCCCGTGGGATCTCGTTTTTCCAACTGCGTCTTAGCCGCTTCTCTCTGTTCTTCCTCGGTGCGGTCTGGCGCTAAAGTGACTGCACACTGTTGGAACTACTGGATGCGCCGAGGGTCAAAATAGCGCTGCTTTAAGGCCCGTATTTTTATGTGGGCTACAGTCTATGATAAGGAAACACGGTTGAGATGGGCGGTTTAACCAGAAACCGTATTTTCACCTGTTTCCTGTGTTAAACACAAAGTCAATATTGAGTTTTTTTATTCGTTAGCCTTTGGAACGCAAGTAATGTTCCATTTCAAAACGTTATTCACTAGTTTTATTTTGAAAGCGTAACTGGATGTATTTATTGTTGCTAACTTGACGGCGAGACGTCCAAAAACGGTGTTGTTAACCCAGGCCGTAAAAAAACTGAGACTTAAGAAGCCTAACTGAGACTATTTTCAGTCTCCTTTGTAATGCTTTGTAGGGCCTAAGATAGTCCTTACTAAAGAGGGAAAATACTCAATTTCCTTAAACTTTCTACATGATCGTATGAAACACAGGCCCATATATATAGTTTTTCATTGGAATAATACTTTTTAGATTAGATTAGATTCTTTATTGTCCTTTTCAGGAAATTTGTTTCCACAATCTATACGTACATTACCTCACATATACACAGCATGAACATACATAACAACGTGCTGTACATTTTATACACAAATTAACACCCAAACCAGGACATAACTTTTTCTTAGCAAGAACTCTTGTTGAGTAGTGTTCTGGCAGAGGGGATAAAACTCCTGCTATAGCGAGCCCGTTTCCAGGCCAGGGATCTATATCTACGTCCTGATGGTAACAGAGTGAAGAATGTGTTGAGAGGATGACTGATGTCGTGTGTTATTATGTGTGCTTTCCGTAAAATGGCTTTCCTATTGAGGTCAGAGAGGTTGGGGGAGGGAGACCAATTATTTTGGAGGCGTTTTTTGTGATGCGTGTAAATTTGTTCTTATTGGTCACAGTGAGTATGTTGAAATAACAGATTGAACAGTAAAGAAGGATCGGTTGAATTATGCTTTTGTAGAGCAGCAGTAGAAGGTGGGGAGCAACCAAAAGGGATTTAAGTTTCCGGATGGCAGAGAGTCTTTGTTGGCAGCGTTTGAAAGTGTGAGTGGTATGTTGATCAAATTTCAGTTTATTGTATCTGAAGCACTCCACCCATTCAACAGCTACATTATTTATGCTTGTAGAGTTGGGGGTGACATTATGGGCTGTGCTGTTGGTGTTGGGTGTGTTAATCAACATTTCTTTTGTTTTTGCAACATTCATCTGAAGATAATTATTTGAACACCACTGCGTGAGGTGAGAGATGGAGTCTTGATAGCTTAAAACAGAGTTTTTGTTATTAAGGAGACCAAGAACAACAGTGTCGTCAGAGTACTTGATATATGTGGTAACAGGTGAGGGGCTGGTGCATTCATTGGTGTATAGAGGAAACAGAAACGGACTCAGGACACAACCTTGTGGGGCTCCGGTGGTGGTGATGATGGTAGGGGACGTCATCTCCATGTAGTCTGTAAAAGAAGAGAGAAGAGAGAGAGCGACTTCGCGTGTCGCTCTTTTGTTGCCTGGGGCGTGGTTCCCCAGGGGGCGTTTCAGGTTTCCCAAGGGACTGCCTCTCTAAAAATGAAATCTATTTGCGCGTATTATAATCAAATATTTTCCTCAATCGAACCTTAATGGTCAAACGGTTGTACCTTTCTAAGTTAACCTAACCCTGGTAACAGGAAACAATTGTCACATTATTGGTCAGGATATTTATACATTAACGGCATTTCCAACGAGGGCATGTAATACTTATTTCGTCCACCTGGGGGAGCTCAGGTTAGATGAGGAAAGTTTAGATTAATCCAAGATCATCTCTCCTTAGGAACCGGGGAATTATTGTTGATTCACCCTTAAATCCAAGCTGGCGATTAAGAGTATAGTAAGACATTTCTTTATCATCACTTCCAAAGGAATTTTGAAAGTATTATGAACAAGCATTGATTACATTAGATGAAGGGGTGTCTTGCTGAAAATAAAAACACTGCAAAAGTAACTTTCTTTTCAGCACTAATATCAACAACAGATAGTAACAACATGTTAACATAACTACTCAAATAGAGGCAAACGTAATCAGGCAACTAAAGATTTAATTAAACTTAATTAAATGCTTTGAGTCTTTGGAGTCTTTGGTTATTGAAAGTTCAGCTCTCTGGATCATGTCACACTGGGTGAGACAGGGGTTAGTCCCTTTGATGGGTAATAAAACAAAGAACAAGGTCAGTTGCCACGGAAACATGTGTGGGGGGCCAGTTTTGATAGGCTGTTCAGGGAGATGCTAATGGCTGGTTCATGTCCCTTTGTCAGTTTAACAGTCAGGCCCCGCGTTATCAGCTTCGGAATCAAAAAGGTGCCAGTTTTATGGTCGGGATAGCACTTAGAGAAAGCAACTTTGACCCCTCCCCTTCTTCTCTGGGGAGGAGAAAGGAATTTGGAGTAGCTCCAAATTTATTCAATATAAAATGCACAAATCCCGTTGTTCACTACAATATTCAGTTGCATTAAAAGCTTCCTCAGGATGGTTTTGATGGTTTAATGCATTAAAATATAGCTTTTTCTTTATTGCATCTCCATGTAGTCTGTAAAAGTAAAATAAATATATTAATACACAATGGATTCATATTCCTTAGCTTCTGACTTTTCAAAGGAGACCAGAATTATGCATCTAGGCCAAATGGTTGAGGAGTTATTCCTGATTCATTTTGGGTTTGTAATTTTAGGCATTTTTTCTGGAAAAAGGGGCCTGTTTTCAACAGGTTAACAAGGGAGAGAGAGAGCGAGAGATCAACGAGCGAGAGGATGTGCTGCGCGAATACCCGCTGCCTGCAGCACAAATACAAAAATCAATATGTGCCGTTCAGCACTGATATTGTGGCAGGCCGCCACAAATAAATGAACGTACGGGAAACACTGTAACTTATCTGCTCATGTTCAAACCTTTCTGCACATTCAGAATCTCTCACACATATCTGTGTTCTCTGACATGCAAAGAAAAATGGGAATTCATATTATTTAACTACATGCCCTATACTGCATTATGTTAATGATTGGCTAAACTGAATGAGACGAGGAGGCGCTCATGCCGGGGGAAAACGAAACTAACCGACAGCACCTGTGATCAGACAGAAAGCTCACGAATAATTCAACACACTTAAACTTCAGCACCTCTGATAAAGTGCCGCTAAAAATCCCCACCAGAGCAAGTCAGGGCTTCAGTTTTTAACGTTACATTTTTAGAGCCTACTGAAACTACAGTATATTTTTTGGCACAAACTGTCTGCGACTCACAGCGCGAGGTGGGTCCACGTCACTCGCTGGTGTCGCAGCGAAGCTGCTTTCAGGGTGAGTCCGACAGCGGAATATCCCTCTTATAAATGTGTAACCACTGCGATAACAAGACGTTCACGGTGTATTCCTCAGAGAAATAAACACTTTTCCAACAAGAAAGAGAGCGTCAGTTTTCCAGAGTTTACACAGTAAACGCCATGTGGGTAAAGTCTTAGAGATGATACTCTGACTTCCTGTTCCCGTGAAGGCAGCAGGAAGCTGCACCACAAGTAGCTGACGGAGAAAAAATGCAGTCTCGTCCAGTGGCAGTGGACTAAACTGGCAGGCTTTAATGTTGCAGACCACAGTTGTTTGCAGGTAGTTTAAAGTTTAAACTCGTATTGTTGTGAATCTTAAGTGTAAACTCGCCTTAGAATTTCCAACCAACGAACGCCCCGCAAAAGCAGCTCAGCGCCCCCTATCGTCCTCGGAACGCCCCCGTTGAGAAACACTAGTGTAGACGCCCGTCCTCACTTGATTTATTGTGCTGCTTTACGACCCATGTTTACGTTTTTAACGACCTCTATTGGCCGTGTTGGCTGAGTCAAACCCAGGACTTTCACACAGGAGAACCGCGTTCCATTCCCCTGTGAAATCAAGTAAATGTAGAGTTATTTTCAGTTTGAAGGCAACTTTAGCCCTAACAAAATGTAGCAAAGCATTTATTTCAACAGAAATGGTGGTGCCTTGAACATCCTGTTGCGTACGCCAGCCACTGGACTTCACTGTCTTTTAAATGTGGCTGCTGATTGGGTAACACCTCTGACACACCCAATAAATGAGAAAAAACATACCTGCAGTTAATGAAATTAGATTAAATATATTGTCAAGTTATGTTTGTTCAAAACAAAGCTGTGAATGTGTACTGCACTAAAGTAAATGTTTCTAATAAGATTTTCATCAAAAAAAGATATCTGGTAAAATATATTTTTTGTTTAGAAGTTTTTGTTTATTGATCTCCTTAAATATATATTTTTAATGATATGCAGTGTTCATGTCATTTGGTGCGACCAATAATAACAATAACTGTATTAAATTAAAAATAAAATATCTCATTCCTGTGACTGAAATATTAATTACTGATACAGTAAGTTTAAGTGATGGTATTTTTTAAACATTTTTACCAGTTTTATGCAATTTACAGAGAAATTTTATCAATTAACTACATATAAGAAGGGGATTGTGACATTATAGAGCAAAATATATATTATTTACAAAAACCCAAAAGAAAATCAAATACATTGTATCTAAAACCTTTATTTTACTGAGAACTTGCAAAAACTGTTAAGCATGTTAAGGAAATTAATTAATTATAAAATAAATTATGGTCGCACCCCATGACATTTTGTAAGGCCACAAACAGTTTATGTAGCTGAAAAAACACTAAAATCATTTAATTTGAAAAAACTACATTCATTTTTGTGTACTCAGCATTCTTAATGTTTGAACAATGCCAATAAATGTACCTGGGTCATCCCGTCTGTCTGTGTGTCCCTCCGGTCAGTGACGTCACTACTCAGAGGGAGGCCCCTTCCTGCAGATCGGTTATAAAGGGGCGGAGCTCCGGGGCCCCTTTCCTCCGGTGCACAAGCGTTGCATTAAAGTGCGTTTTTTACCCACCAAACAGCTTCAGCTTCACCAAAAGGAACGTCAGTGTCGCTGAGTTAAATCTCGTTTTGTAGCTTCTCTGTCAGAGTTTGCCTCCTTTTCTTCCTGCAGTCAGGACGTATTAATATTAATGAGCGGCGTTTCACTGACCATTTATAGGCAACTGTGGGCGTTTGGAGGGTCGGACATGGAGCTCCCTCACATGCCCCACATTTCAAGTTGATTGTGATTTATAAATGGAACTTGCTTACAAGTGTGCGTACGCACGGTTTTATAAGTCTGAATATTTTTTGCTGCATGCCATTTTTGGCTTTTGTGCGCACGTACACTTTTAGTGAAGATTCTACGCACAGTTTTATAAATGAGACCCCAGGACTGTAACGGTGAGGCTTTTCCATGCCACCAGTAACGTTAGCTGGGGCATCTTTCAGGTAGTCTTAGTAGCATCCTTTGGGCTTTGCCACTGGTAGATTTACGAGTTACGCTGAGATTGTTTATATTCTTTCTCGGGAAAGTATAAAAAAAAAATCTATGAACCATTAACAACTCATATATAAATGGTTTGTCATTAAAATAATACTTCATATATAAATAGTGAACCGATCATGTTTAAAGTATGAAAATACAATTATTAAGCACATTATAGATGAGCTTATTAATAAAGAATAAAACATGCATGACTATGTTTATAAATGACTTACTAATGTGTATTAATGTAAGAACAATGGTTTATAAATGATGAATTCCGTATTTACAAATACTTCACTAATGCTTTACAGTGTGTAGTTATTATAAAGTGCTATATTTCTTTGTTTCTGTTGGTTTCAATGTGTTTTCACAAATAATGTCTGATCACTGATATTGATCCTTCAGAACACACACACACACACACACACACACACACACACACACACACACACAGACACACACAGACTGTCCTGAGATCAGCAGCATGTTATTGATCTGTGTTGACATGAATAGGTGTATGAATGTTGTGCTGACATTTGGATGATGTCTGTAGAAGGCTGACATTATGATGATCCACAATAACACAATGACAAAGTCCCTCTACTCATTTTAGGGAAAAGCTCATTGATTAGGACATAGTAATGTTGAGCTCCACATTTAAAACCTGAACACATCTGATTGGATTAGAAATGGATTTTTATCTCCATCATTTATTCTTTATTCAGATTGAGACGCTGCAGGTTGTCAGAGATCAGCTGTGCTTCTCTGGCCTCAGCTCTGAAGTCCAACCCCTCCCATCTGAGAGAGCTGGACCTGAGTAACAACTACCTGCAGGATTCAGGAGTGAAGCTGCTGTCTGATCTTGTGGAGAGTCCACACTGCAGACTGGAGACTCTGAGGTCAGTAGAGGGTTGGAGTCAGTCCATGCTGGTTTCAGCAATATTGTACTAAACACAGTTAGTATCAAAGCAGAGATCCAGTATTTCCTGTAAACCTCCAACCTTCTCAGCGGCTGCTTTCCTCAGTGAAGCTGTGAGAGGAGAATGGTGACAGGCTTCAGGATTGGACAGAAAGACAGACAGAGAGAGAGAGAACAGGCAGTGATCATGTGTTTGAGTTGATGTGAAGACGACTGTTGTTGTTGTGTTCATGTCTCCAGGAAATAAAGCTGGATTCCAGCTGACAGCATCACAAGATGTATAGAGACAGTGGTCCTCATTCATCAAACTGTCGGACCATCAAATCTGATCTCAAAGTGTTTGTTCTCTCATTTCAACACTAAACTACTGATCAGTTCATCTTTGTCACAGCTCTGAGATCAGTCTGACTGAAGCCTGCAAATCACTGGCTCTTATTTCAGAGAACCGTCATTACATTTAGTAACCATGTGGTCTTTCTGCAGAGCAGAACCTCTGCTGAAGTCCAGTAAGCACAGCTGATGTTTAGCTGTTGTAGGACCTTTAACATCATATATATATATCTGTCCATGTGTCTTTAGTTTGGTCCAGATGTTTTTAGAACAGACTCCATATTTACAGATTTGTCCTGTAATATTTCCAAAGTAGCTGAAATCTTCAAATGTGACTGAGCGGCTGGTTTTTAACAGCAGTAAATCCATCATTCCAGTGAGCAGTGAATATCTCTCTGTCTCTGCAGTCATGATGCGTTCAGGGACTCTCAGCACTTTATTTCCACTGTGGACTTGAGTGAAACCTGCAGAGTAAACAGAGCTGATGGCCAAAGTCTCTGCAGGTCTCAGTGTGTTCACTCCAATACGTTAACATGAGAGCTGAAAGGAAGCTGGCTACGCTACACAGCCGCTCCACTTCTGGTCTGAACAGGACTGAAGTCCCTGCTGGTCTTTATACTGGATGTGCTGCATCACTGACTGACAGCTGATGAAGGGAGTCTCTGTAAACTCTGATTTATGACTTCTGCTCTCTGTCTTTCTTCTCTCATCAGCTGGAGGTGATCTCTGTCAGGTCAGAGTGTGAGTGATCAGAAAGGTGGAGGTGTTGAGAGAGGATCAGCTGTGTCCTGATGATCCAGAGAGGTTGAAGCAGTAGCAGCAGCTTGTGTGTGGAGAGGCTCTGACTGGGCCATGTTACTGGGAGGCAGAGTGGAGAGCTTCAAAATCTAATGTTAACATGCTAATGCACTAAACTGAAGCATGTTAGCATTGTCATTGTGAGCATTTTATCATGCTGATGTTAGCATTGAGCTCAATGCACAACTGTGTCTGAGTACACAGAGCTGCTAACAGGGCTGCAGACCCTCAGTCGTAGGTAGAGTTGGTGGAAGCGCACACACAGACCTCACAGAGAAGCAGCAATAGAAAAAAAGGAACTTTTGCATCTCCGGAATCATAAATTCACCTTATAATAGACATAATCGTCCCTTGGGAGAAAATGTAGATTGTTACCTGTGATACCTGTGGTGTGTATATAAGGCTTTAGCTTATTCTCTTAGACTTGGCTTGGGAACCGGATGGTCGCCTGTTCAAGTCCAGTACACTCCAAGGAGCCCCTGAGCAGGGCCCCGAACCCCTCACTGCTCCCAGGCACTATGCACAATGGCTGCCCTATGCTCCTAAGTAGGAGGGGTTAGATGCAGAGAACGAATTTCCCCCTCGGGGATCAATAAAGTATAGATAATATTTGGTGCTGCATTGTAACACACAGGGCTCTACTGTATCTGAGCTTCACTCTGCCTCCTGTGCAGAACAGGTTTCTCCATAGAAGCCGGTCTGGAGTCCTTTCATGCTGTTTGGATGTTTAAATTGGATGTTTGAATGAATGTTTACATTCTGCTGCTCTTAAAAAGGATGAAAGCTGATGTGATTGGCCATTATTGAAACCCAGCACTGCAGACTAGTCCCTGTTTCATGTGAATGTACCTGTTGATGGATTGGGAAATCCAGACTGTCTTCATAAGAGACAACTGTATTTGTGTTTACTCCTACAGGCTGGATGGCAGAGACATCAGGGCTACACCTGACAGACATGGAGGACGTGAGTAACAGTCCACTGGATTATCTTAAAGAAATGTAAACTGAAGATTGGCTGCTGTGTGCTTCATGGCTCTGGTAGATCTCAGTAACCCCAGCAGGTCTTTGGCTTTGTTCTGCTCTGCATGTTGGGAAAGATGATGTCTTGTTGCTGTGTTGCCTCACTGCAGGAATGTCTTGGATCTCTGTCCTTGTTATGTTTGTGTACATTTGATTGTATGGACTCGGGCTTAACTTGGTATCTTTGGACTGTTAAACATGACTGTGCTTAGTCTTCTACATTGTGACATTGCTGGAGAGTTTTCCAGTAGATAACAACAGGAAACATGGGGTAAAGACCTGCTCCAAAGGGCCCTGGCCAGCCGTGAACTGGTTGCTGTGACAGGTTTTTGAATGTTGAATGTTGACGTCCAAAAGTGAGTTTGACATCTGCTTCTGTCCATCCGATGGCTCTAATCTCCCACCAGATCCGTCAACATCAAACACAAAGGTCAATGTGTCTGAGGACCAGCTGTGTCCTGATGATCCAGAGAGGTTGAAGCAGCATCAGCTTCAGTTTGGAGAGGCTCTGAATACAAAGGTCAGTATTTCACTTTAACATGTTTACATTACATTTATTCATTTAGCTGGCGCTTTTATCCAAAGCGACTTACAGCTGCTATATATGTCAGAGGTCACACGCCTCTGGAGCAACGAGGGGTTAAGTGTCTTGCTCAGGGACACATTGTTGGACGGGTCACAGTGAGAATTGAACCCGGGTCTCTCACACCAAAGGCATGTGTCTCACTGCTCTACTCTCCAGTTTAAAATCACAACTGATGGCTGAAACCAGTCATGTGACCATTAACTATACTGGATGGTGATGGTGCGTAGATAAGATGCTTGCCTTTGGTGTAGGAGACCTGGGTTCAATTGCCACTGTGAGACATCCACCTTTGTGTCCCTGAGCAAGACGCTTAACCTGTAGTTGCTCCAGAGGCGTGTGACCTCTGACATGTATAGCAGCTATAAGTCGCTTTGGATAAAAGCGTCAGCTAAATGAATAAATGTAATGTATAATCACAAACTACTGAACATTTCTTTTTTTGTATGATGCAATGTTTTAAATGGAAAGTGCTTTTAGTTCTGTTCTGTTGGGTTCTATAGCCACCTAGCTAACTCTGGGAGAGTCAGTGACTGTCCACTGTCCCTGTTAAATAAACAAAAGAATAAATAGTAAAGAGTGCACGTAGTAAAGTGAAGCAAGGAGGATCCTGTCTGTGAGAGTTGGGCGGACAGTTTCTGCTCCCTTCTCAACGTGTTCTGTAACTAATGTTGTGCCTTTTTATTTCAGGAGAAGTTAAGTTTCACACCTGAACTGCTGACTGAGTCTGGAAAGACTTCATACAGGTAACCAAGTCACAACATGCAGAATGCTCCATTCAGTGACTTTAACCTACGCTTCACCTCCTCTCAGCACTTTAACTGAAAGTTGGACCTTTTCAGTAGAGTTTAGCTCAGAAGGCGCCAGCATACTTCAGCAGAACTACTCTTCTGATGGTGGAACAGCTTCAGAAACCCCTGGAGGCTCTGTAGGACAATCTCTTTAACTTTCTGAAAGACAATCCCACATGACCCGCCTCACTCTGTGATTGGTCAGCTGAAAGTAGGCGAGGTTTGAACTCTTCTCTCTTTATTCGCGCTCTGTTATCTTAATATTTAAATGATATCTGCCTCTCTGTGCTGGACAGCTTTTCCCTCCACCTGCCAGTGTGAACGTTCACAACTACTTGAAACACTTGTTATTTTTCAAGCATACAGCATTTAAGATCAGCTGTCATGTCAACTCCTTTCATTACATTTATTCATTTAGCTGACGCTTTTATCTAAAGCGACTTACAATTGCTATTTATGTCGGACGTCACACGCCTCTGGTCTCTCACACCAAAGGCAGGCATCTGTCCATTGCGCCATCACCAGCCCTTTCAGTGCTTACTCTTCATTTTAACACTCACACACTTCCAACAATTCAGTTTGGTCTCCAACTTTTTAAAGAATGCAGCACAGCACTTTTATTTCAGCAGTTTCTTCCTCTAGTTTTATTTAATTCCTTTCCCAGGACAATACCTGGATGTCTTTCAGCCCCAATCTGGTCCCTGCTGTAACTAATATGAATAATAATAAAACCTACCAAAATATGATATATGAACTGTTATAATGAACTGTAGTGCGTATGAGGAGTAAATGTAAATGCTCCATACTTGTATAGCGCCTTTCTAGTCTTTTCGACTACTCAAAGCGCTTTTACACTACATCTGCATTCACCAGTCATACACATTCATACACTGAGCCTCAAACAGAAACTAACATTCACACTCATTCATACACTGGCGGAACAGCCTCCAGGGGCAAATCGGGGTTCAGTATCTTGTATCTTCAGTATCCAGGGGGAGCCAGGGATTGAAACGCCGACCTCCCGATTAACGGCCACAAGTGGATGCTAACAGGCTTTAAAGCTGTTCTGGCAACACGTGCTGCCCAAAACCTCAGACACTTTGTGTTGGTTTTTACTTTAATTTGTCTAGATAAACGTATAGCAAATAAAAGTAGGAACAAAATGAACCAGGTTTGTCACCCAGGGTTCAGTGGTCTCTGTCAGAGGAATGCAGAAGAGGAACTGTGAGTTACTGTGTCAGGCAGAAGTGGCATTGCATCTTACATTTCTGTTTAAGTCTGTTTAAGACTGTGGATCAGCTGGTAAACCCAACCCCTCCTTGTGCCTCAGCTGGAAGTAATGATGACTGTGAATTGTTTTTATCTTATTTTACCAATAAGGTGGTGTCAATCAGAGCCTCTATTACCCCCGCGGCCTCTTACTCAGAGGTTCCTCACCAGCAACAAGAGAGTTTTAACCAGTTTTATCCCATCAACTTGTCTGAGCTTTTAAAAACAATATCACAAATGAGAGTGTCCTCCAGCCCACTTGATGTAATACCTACACAGTTTTTACTGAAAGTAATAGATTCTGTTGGGCCCCATTTGATCTCTGTTTTCAACAGCTCCCTATCTACTGGTTGTGTCCCTGATTATTTTAAAATGGCTTGCGTGAACCCACTTTTAAAGAAACCTGGTTTAGATCCCTCCCTCCCACATAATTTTAGACCAATTTCAAAACTGCCTTTTATTGCAAAGATTCTAGAAAGAATTGTGTCCAAACAGCTGCTCACTGTGCTGGAAAATAAGAAAATATTTGAAAAGATTCAGTCTGGTTTTAGGAAGTACCACAGCACTGAGACTGCCCTGCTTAAAGTCACCAATGACCTTTTAACGTCTGCTGATGAAGGCATGTGCTCAGTCCTGGTACTCCTGGACCTTAGCGCTATTTTTGACACCATTGATCACAACATCATGTTAGATAGACTGAGGCACTGGGTGGGGATCTCTGGTACTGACCTAGAATGGTTTTCATCCTACCTGTAAAATAGGAAGTTTTGTCTGTAAACAACTATGTCTCCTCGTTCTGTCCAGTTAAATATGGTGTGCCTCAGGGGTCGGTCTTAGGACCCATTTTGTTTTCCTTGTATCTGCTTCCCCTTGGACATATTATCCATAAACATGGCATTTCTTTTCATATTTATGCTGATGACACACAAATATACTTGCCCGTCAGATCCACAGACCCTGGAATGCTGAGTTCACTTAACAACTGCCTTTGTGAAGTTAAAAAATGGATGTCAAATAATTTCCTCCAGCTGAACTCAGACAAAACAGAAATCCTGGTCATCGGGTCCCAGCAGATGGCAAATCAAATACTGCCATCTGCTGGTTCCCTAGTAAATCACATTAAGCCTGTGGCAAAGAACCTTGGTGTTTGGTTTGATAGTAATTTAAATTTCGAGCAGCACACCACAAAGCTTGTTCAATCATGTTTTTATCAACTTAGAAATATAGCAAAAATTCGATCTATGTTAACTTTTAAGGACACCGAGACCATTTTACACGCCTTCATCTCATCACGCCTTGATTATTGCAACAGCCTTTTCACCTGTTTAACCCAAAAATCTATTGATCGACTCCAGACTGTCCAGAACTGAGCTGCCAGGCTTTTAACTAGAACAAAGAAATATGACCACATTACTCCTATTTTAGCTTCATTACACTGGCTCCCAGTATGTTTTAGAATTGACTTTAAAATTCTATTGATCACTTTTAAAGCTCTTCATGGCCTCTCACCTTGTTATATTTCTGACCTTTTAGTCCCATACGCACCAGCACGTACCTTGAGATCCTCGGGCAGAGGTCTGTTGTCTGTTCCAGAGTCTCGACTGAAAACTAAAGGGGACAGAGCGTTTGCTGTCAGGGCCCCGAGGCTCTGGAACAGCCTGCCCGAGGAAATCAGGTCGGCTGAGTCAGTGAACTCTTTTAAGTCCCTTCTTAAAACATACTTTTATAGGAGAGCTTTTCCCGATCTTATTTGACTTTATTTTATCCCTTTTATTTTATTCTATTTTACTTATTTATTTATCTTAAACGTGTATTTTAGTCTTTTCAATGTTTTCATGCTTTTATCTTGTATTGTTTCAGAATTATTGTCTCTTGGGTATTATTGTCTTTACATTTGTTAAAGCACTTGTTTTTGAAAAGTGCTCTACAAATAAACATTATTACATTTGTCCTTATTAAAAGCTATGATCCATTTACTTGTTATAAACATGTATATATGTGGATCATTAGCTTCTAAAAGAGTCCAGATGTCCTCGTTTGGGTCTTTTCTAGATTGGCTGAAATGTGTAAACTGGTTGTATTTGCGGACTGAGATGAGGAACCAAATGCAGACAATGGCAAGGCGAGAGGAGGATGCAGTTCAAACAAAATATTTATTCAGCAAAAACAGGCTTACTCATGAGCACAGCAGGCAAAAGGTCCAAACAAAGGCATCTCCGAACAGGCAGAGTAAAATCCAGAACAGGGCAGGGAAAACAATCCAAATGCAAGGAAGAGATCTATGAAACAAAGGAACAGGCAAGAACACTAGACGCAAGGACGTGACAAAGACTGAAGACGACTGAGGACAATATATACAGATACTGGTAAACGAGCAGGGAGGGAAGCACAGCTGAGATACATCAGTTAATCAAACAAAGCTAGACAAGGACACCAGGTACAGAGGGTTACCAAAATTAAACAGGAAGTAAAATTCACAGGAACACACAAGGACAGATCTGCTAAAGTAAAACACCAAAACATGTCACAAAGTCAGCCAAAATCAGGGCACGGACAGGAGCAAACAGGAGACAAGACTACTCTAAAACATAAAGTAATATAAGACAAAGGACTAGGACACAGACCATAATGATAAAACACAGAAGTACACAGATCAGGAAAACACTTAGACATGAACTAAAGCACAGGACTAAGAACTAACTAAACAAGACTACACAGAGAAACACAGAACCAAAAACAGACTTTAACAGGAAAGACATGAACACAGAAACTACATTCTAACAATATTAGTTCTTTGTCTATGGTCCCTGCAGGCTGAGAGCTTGTTGTATGTCCTGCAGGTTCAGGTGTCCTGGTCCAGGTGTGTTCCAGTGTGCTTTGACTGGACTGGTGTTTGTTGTGGCTCAGGAGGCGGAGCTGCTGTACCGGACTGTCCAATGGGATGAGAGCCTCCTCCAATCAGCTGGCAAGACGGCTGCAGGGCTGCTGTTCAGTATCAAGTGTCCTGAGAACGCTGTCTGTCAGCTCCACCTGCCACACTGTGAAACAAAGGCCGGTGAGGACATTATTGTGCTTTGTGAGTGGAGAGTTTTGTCAGAGCGACGATGAAACAACATCCTGATGGTTTACCTGTTCTAACAGTCCGAACAGCTGTGCAGCTAAACAGGGGGAGTTTGTCCTGAGGGGGGCGCTAGAATAAAATCAAAAGGGATGCTGCCAGAGGAAATTTCCCGAGGTCACCATCAGTTATCATCTGGGGATCATAGTTTTTCCTTTAGTTTTATTTCTTTTTCCTTATTTTGCATTTCCATTTATTGTCAGGAACAAGGGCACCAACACCAAAAGTTGTGTCGATAAATTGCTCAACCTGGGCAACAGTCTTCCTGGAAATACAATAGAACAAACATTGTACTGAGGTTGTTATCAGTAAAACCAAAGTTTAACACTGTGTTTTCACAGCTCTGCTGCCTGATGGTCTGCTGTCTGTCGTCCACATCACTGATGATGGAATGAGCATCCTCGACCCGCAGGAGATTACAGACACTCATGTGGTTGTCAAAGTCCCTCACCTCTCTGCCTTCGGCCTAGTCTGGGATATCATTAAGAGGTTGTGGACGACACCAGTTTGTGGCCAAGTTCTGCTGTTCCTCAGACCACCAAACACAGAAACAGACACGAAAATCCTAAATGTGCTTCTCCTGCCGAACAACATCCCTCTGGACGAGGTAAAGCTTCATCTCACAGCTGTCAGTCCAAAGTTCTCTGATGTGGCTTAAAGGAAAAGTTCAGTTTTTTAAACAACAATCAAGTGTCCATATGAACACTGACCAGCCTTTTCTTGCTGTAACCGTTCCTCCTGTTCATACTGGACTAATGTGTTTCACTGTATCTGTCTCAGACACATCAAGTGGAGATCATCCAAAGTTAGTTTTATCCCCAGCAGTATCTTTATTAATATATTCAATTAACTTCCAGCAACATAGAAGCAAATGTGTCCTCGTCCAGTATGAAAAACATTAAAGGCCCGTAGATTGTTACATTAAAATTAGGTCTAGGATTCATTTAGGGTCAAGTGTTAAGTGTATGCTCAATATATTAGCCCCCCTCCAAACAGGACAAGGCAGTCCTGTAGTGTTGTGTTAGCTTTACTGTTGTATTTCCTCACCAGCCAGTTAGATTGCAGCAATTTCAGATATATATTGACAGTTAGTGCTTCATGCTGCTTTCCAGTCCTCAGAAGGTATGTCCTCCTGTAAGTCTTCTCTCCAGATGGATAATGGTGGATAGACAAACACTGATAATGATGATCAAATAAAGTATTTCAGCAGTATGTATTACCAAGGATATCATACCTGGCACTCAACTCAATGACTTTAAGGTCCCATGAACCAATACCACAAGTAAACACATGTCTAACTAACTTGTAACGTTTTCTTATTCAACACTTTGATTGAAGTATAAATACAGAGGAAGCTGAAGTGTGAAATTCATTCTAGATTTATCTGCCTGGGGCTATTATTCTACAGAAGTCTTACAGAAACTTTTTTAAGTTTTAGATTAGATTTGTAGGAGGTGGCAACAGCATGTTCTGAAACAAATACAGGAGGATGTTCAACTTAAAGGTCCAGTGTCTAATATTTCTGAGGATCTGTTGACAGAAATGCAATATAAGATCCAGAACTATAATGAACCATTATGTTTTTATTACCTCAGAATGAGACATTTCTATCTACATATACCGTGGATCCTCTTACATGGATGTCGTAGCGTCCATGTTGATTCCACATTCTGACTTAAGAGCACATGAACACACCAAAATCAGAAGATTTCACAACTCCATCCGAGGAGCACATGAATGCACCGTGGACAGTTTGTTGCAATTCACAACCCTCACTTCTACCTGTTACAACCCAGCTCGTTAGGGTAGGGCAGTAACAAGTTATTTGGGATTGAAATGAAGGTGGTAAAGGACAAATGAATTTAGGTTAAAGTCAAATGTTTAATTAAATGATTTGTCTCAAGAAAACACAACAAAAGGAGGCTATATAGGTACTGACAAAAAAGGAAACAAAAGGAGGTATTGTCCAAAGACAGCTCTGTACTCAAAAAACACTGAAGAACAAAAGGAGGTCAGCACCTATATCTTTTACAAGAATGCAAAGTAACCAAACAGACAATGCTCAACCTAAAGAGTGCCACTCACACTGTGATTTACAAGGGTTCTAACTGACGGAAGCCGCTTAGGCAGGCAACCGACAAAAACAGGTAAATGCCAACACTCAAGAAATTCACTATTAACAGGGGTGCACAACCAACAACGAGGCAAAGTGATCACTGGCTCACAGTCGCCTCGAACTGCAGACACACAAACTATTTGTCAGAAATCTTGTGAGCAGCACCGGGGCTCTCATTTATAAACGGTGTGTACGTACAAAACAGAGCTGGAAACGGGCATGCGCCACTTCCCAAGCCAAGGTTGTGATCTATAAAAAACTAACTTGAGGGGAAAATGTGCGTCCTGTAAGTAAATTCTGAACCATGCGTACACACATGGCAGAAGGACGAAACTGTTTGAAATGAATAGGCTGACTGCTGTGTAAAATATATCCAAATATTACCTCTGAGTATTGTAGGCTTAAAGCCTTTCTGAATGAACAAACACCCGTTTGATGGGCAAAAAAACCCCATTATTTAAGATCATTTGCAGCGCACACAACAGATCCAGATTCAGGATAAGAAACACAAACGGAGATTCTGTTTCTGCAAAAGAATGCCTAAATAGATCATGTATTGTTTTCACATGTTCGTTTCCTTATGAAGCCAAACGCTGAGCGCCAGCGTGTGGATGTGATGCGCTGCTTGTAAAAAACACTATTTTATTGTCATTTCCAACAAGTCATGTTTCTTTTAACTCATCAGCAGCCTCATTAAGTGAGTGGAGTGTTTGTGTAGCCTAAATAAATGTTGAAACACAGCTGGAATGCATTGTTGCATGGTTTAGACCTAGAATAGACTTGGAGCGTTCAGCTAGCAAGCTCCTCTCCTGTGGAACCAGGTTCCAGTTTGGGTTCAGGAGGCAGACACCATCTCCACATTTAAGAGTAGGCTTAAGACTTTCCTCTTTGATAAAGCTTATAGTTAGGGCTGGCTCAGGTGAGTCCTGAACCATCCCTTAGTTATGCTGCTATAGGCCTAGACTGCCGGGGGATTTCCCATGATGCACTGAGCTCCTCTCTCCTCTACTTTCTCTCCCTCTGTATGCAACCTCATCCTATTATTGCATGTTACTAACACAACTTCTCCCCTTTCTGGTAGTCTTGTGCTTTCTCGTCCCTCTCCTCTCTCCTCCTATCACTTCCTGCAGGTTTTCTGGCTCTGGAGCTGTGGAGTCTGGATCTGTGGTTGCGGGTCACCTGCTGCCCCCCGTGTTCCTGCTCGACACCCTCTGCTGCAACGACTATTGTTACTAGTCCTATTGTTATTATTGTTATTATAATCATTAACATTACGACTTACCATTAACACTACTATAAATATCTGTACCATTTTTCATTTAGTCTATAGCAACATCACCTTCACTGTCTGTACCTCTGTGTGTATATTGTGTAGGCTGCCTCCCTCCCTTCCAGATTATAAGTTTAGAAATCCTTCTGTAACCAATGCCATCAGTATGTTCAGCAACAATGAGGTTGCAACGGTCTTGAGAGCACTCTTTGCTTTTGCCCATCATGAGATGTTCCTTGTGTGACAACTTGGTAATGTGGACCTTTTTATAGGCCATCAGTTGGGCCTGAACCAGCTGATGTAAATTTGCTAATTTACTGATAGATTTCAGCTGGTGTCTTGGCTCTCTTTCTTCATGTGGTCAATACTTTTTCCCTGTGTCATTTCACATTATAACAGAAATTCATTTCTGAACTGATTTGTTTTTATGTATGGATTACCTGGGTTGTTACCAACATCTGGTGAAAATTTGATGTCAGTAGCATCACAGAGTACGGTCTAGACCTGCTCTTATGAAAAGCACTGTGAGATAACTGTTGTTGTGAGTTGGCGTATATAAATAAAATTGAAACAATTGAATTGAGTAGCACCTTTAGAAGTATGTTTACTGAGAAAAATAGTAATGTGTTCAATACTTCTTTTACCTGCAGTATGTAATATATACACATACACACGGGCAAACAGCATTTAGTCAGCCTCTGATTGTGCAAGTTCTCCTACTTAGAAAGATGAGGTCTGTAATTTTCATCGTAGATACACTTCAACTATGAGAGACAAAATGAGAAAAAAAAATAAAATAAAATCCAGGAAATCACATTGTAGGATTTTTAAAGGATTTATTTGTAAATAATGGTGGAAAATAAGTATTTAGTCAATAACAAAAGTTCAACTCAGTTCTTTGTAACATAAACTTTGTTGGCAATGATGTTTCCTGTAAGTTTTCAGCAGGTTTGCACACACTGTAGCTGGTATTTTGGCCCATTCCTCCCTGCAGATCTCCTCTAGAGCAGTGATATTTTGGGGCTGTCGCTGGGCAACACGGACTTTCAACTCCCTCCACAAATTTTCTATGGGGTTGAGGTCTGGAGACTGGCTACGCCACTCCAGGACCTTGAAATGCTTTTTACGGAGCCCGAGCGGTGTGTTTGGGATCACCGTCATGCTGGAAGAACCGGCCACGTTCCATCTTCAAGGCTCTCACTGATGGAAGGAGGTTTTGGCTTAAAATCTCACCATACATAGCCGCGTTCATTCTTCCCTTAACGTGGATTAGTTTTCCTGTCCCCTTTGCAGAAAAACAGCCCCAAAGCATGACGTTTCCTCCCCCATGCATCACAGTAGGTCTGGTGTTCTTGGGATGTAACTCTGCATTCTTCTTCCTCCAAAAAAAGTTCTATTTTGGTTTCAACTGACCACATGATATTCTCCCAATCCTCTTCTGGATCATCCATCTGCTCTCTGGCAAACTTCAGACGGGCCTGGACATGTACTGGTTTAAGCAGGGGGCACGCCTGGCACTGCAGGATTGGAGTCCCTCTCGGCGTAGTGTGTTACTGATGGTAGCCTGTGTTACTTTGGTCCCAGCTCTCTGCAGGTCATTCATCAGGTCCCTCCGTGTAGTTCTGGGATTTTTGCTCACCGTTCTCATGATCATTTTGACCCCACGGGATGAGATCTTGCGTGGATCCCCAGATCTACGTCTTCCATTTTCTTACAATTGCTCCCACAATTGATTTCTTCACACCAACCTGCTTGCCTATTGTAGATTCACTCTTCCCAGCCTGGTGCTGGTCTACAATTGTCTTCCTGGTGTCCTTCGACATCACTTTGGTCTTGGCCATGGTTGAGTTTGGAGTCTGACTGTTTGAGGCTGTGGACACGTGTCTTTTATACAGATAACGAGTTCAAACAGGTGCCATTAATCCTTCTTAAAGAAGAGCCTACAGGTCTGTGAGAGCCAGAAATCTTGCTTGTTTGTGGGTGACCAAATACTTATTTTCCACCATAATTTACAAATAAATTCTTTAAAAATCCTACGACGTGATTTCCTGGATTTTTCCCCCCTCATTTTGTCTCTCATAGTTGACGTGTACCTACGATGAAAATTACAGACCTCTCTCAACTTGCACAATCAGTGGCTACTAAATACTGTTTGGCCCCACTGACACACATACACACTGGAGGGGGGAGGATAATGAGGCACAGGTGATCACAATCATGTGAAGGTGATCGGTACAAACAATCAAGGAAAAGACAGGAAGTAAAAGTAGCACTAGACACACAACGAAGAACACTAAAAGCCAAACAGGAAACGAGCGAATGCAGAGAGAGAACATAGAACAGAGAGGAGACAACAGAATCAGGGAGAAAACACAAGAGGAAAACACAATCAAACAAAAAAAAAAATACAAAAGCGTGAGATTTCATCACCCTTCAAAGTCCTCTGCTTTACCTGGTCTGTTAAAGATGCCAGATTGTCTGTTGTGGGTCACCAGCAGTTGAGCGGGAGGAATCATGTCGTACTGGATTCCCATGGAACGGAGTTGTTGTCTTGCAGCATCAAACTCTTTACTTTAGTGTTTTGTGTACACCGGTTGCCGGTCCTCAAAGAATCTCACTGGAAGGTTCTTGTTGAGAATCTGTCCGTCAGTCCTGGCAGTTCTTGTCACAGACATTTTATTCCTGTAATTTATCTCATGGTAAGAGATGCTGTCCTCTCCTGAAGATATTCGGAGCTCTGTGTGGTCGACCCGCTTGAAACGCTCATTAACATATTTTCTCATGTTCTCTACTTCAAGTTTGCGACAGCAGCTGTTATCACTTTTCTGCTGTCCTACAACTCTTCCCCATCAGCGGGCTCACAACCTTTTTTTCTCTGCCATGACCTCCTGCGTGCCAGCGTTAGCCTCACTATCTTCACAGTTAGCATGAGAACTCAGAAGGGAGGCGTGACAACTTCGACTGAAATGGCTCGGTGTAGTTTTCGCCAGGTTTCCTTTGTGAGAGAAGCCAGTTACACCCACAAATTATTTAAGATCCTAAATAATGAGCATTAGAAAGGTACCGGAGGCTGTTACAGCCTTTTAGTGTAACATTCCCTGTTTTTGTTACTGACCGTCCACTGCAGCTCAGCAGGGAAACACAAAGAGGGAATTTTACACTGACCCAACTTTGGAAGATCTCTACTTGATGTGTCTAACACAGATTGTTGGATATTTTTGTACAAAACGAGGACTGAGGATTAACGTCTAATATAAATGTTAAAATGTTCTGTTGTCTCTTCAGGTCAGCAAACAACAGCAGCCTTATAAGAACATCAAGACTGCTTCTAAATGCAAACTCATCAAAGCTGAAAGTTACACTCTTCTCTGTCCTCAGGCCAAGGAAATTCAGCCTACGGTAAGTATTTTAAATAAAAATCTTTGCTGACACTATTCATCAATCTGCTGTTAGGTTGACTTTGGATGCTGTGGAAGTTCTGACACTTTGGTTTTCAGGAAGAAGATTTTGACCTGGACTTTGGACCAAATTACCATCCAACATTTGAGATCTTCCTGCCGACAGACAAACAAGAAGTGACTTTAACGCTCCAAGACCAAAGAAATATGGAAGTCTGGAAGCGTAAAGTTGTGGTGACAGGTAAAGTCTTCAAGCACCTGCAGCATCGCTCCACCTGATAGGCCTTTATTCTTACTCTGCCTCAGATCGCTCTTCAGTCTGCATTCATCCTGCAGCAACTTTAAACCAGTTTTGAAGAATCTTATTGGTCAAGAAGCTCCAGGGCCAGTTTGTATAAAACACAATGTATGAAGCGACAGTGTGTTGGAGTCTCTGGTAGAGAGTCATCAGCTGAATCTGCAGCTTCTCGCCTTTACTGACCTTTATAGTGACTTTCAGCTTCCTGTTCTGGTTCCCTCTCAGCAAACAGTAAATGCAGTGAACCGGAGCAAAGCGAGCCGACAGCTGATTTTATTCATTTACAGTATGAGTCTCACAATAAGGGAGGTAAGAAGTCTTCACTCTAGGTTATACGAGCATATTCATTGCTCTACACTACAATGCTATACATTAGAATTTATCAAACTGCGTCGGACGGTAGCACGAGGATACACATGTGAGAGCGTCTGGTTTTCAAAATAAGGTGTTAACACAACGTAAATAAGATTAACTGGATTATATTCACAGGAAGTATAAAACAGGTCACATGTGTCCATTAAAAGGAAAAAAACAACTTAATAAAAAATGTAATTATTAGGGTTGTTTTGACTGTTTTGCTGTTTCATATATCTAAAGGCTACATGGCCATGTGTTAATGATCTAATTGTTCACTAAGTCACAAAACTGTTAAAAAGAGTGCAAAGTTCTTCATACATCAAGCCTCTTTATTTTGCTTAATGTATTTAAAATTTACAAAATTTTCTTGCGGGGCCACGCCACTTTCACAAAATCCTGTGGGAAACACTACTAACATGATCTGTAGGTATGAAGTGGAGGAAAGCAGTATGCTTCATAATCCTCCTAAAATATATAAAAAAAGTCTACTCTATATATATATATGTGTGTGTGTGTGTGTGTGTGTGTGTGTGTGTGTGACTGTATATTTATATTTTGTTCCGTATGTGTGAGAATCAAACTCGTGTATTAATTTCTTGGTTATAAAGCTTGAGATCAAGTCTGACCACTTTACTCTCGACTCTAATTTTTAAAATTCGAGTAAAAAAAGAGTACCGAGGTCTAAAGGGAGGTTGTGACTTTGGAATGTGACACAGTGTGAAAGAGAGAAACATATAATCTGTAAAGTTTCTGGATCTCAGCTGCAGTTCCTTCCAGAGGACAGTGATCAGTATTACAGGAACAGGGACATGGAAATGTTGTTTCTGAGCTTTGTGCATGTTTGAAAGCTGTGACCATGACAGAAGACAAGTTCTCTGCCATCGAATCAGGTCACTGCAGACATTTAACCAGCAAAACAGAGTAAAACTGAAACTGTTTTTGTGGTTTGGGTGAGCTGACCTTTGAAGCACTTTACATTTCAATCAGTCCATCTTATTTCTAAACGTCTTTTCAGACAGAAAGCAGCTGCATGTTTGTTTTTATTGTGTACCAGCTGTAAGCTAGTTAGCAACAGATGCCACAACTAAGATTGTGTTTGTGTTGAGTTCAGCCTCTGAATGATGAACTCCTCTTCTTTCTCTTCTGTCCCTCCAGCGTCTCTCCTGTTTCCTCTCTGGATGTTTGAGCTTCAGGATCAGCCTGAGTTTGTTTGGATCGGCTGCACTTTGTGTCTAACATTCATTTGAATAATCTGCTTTGCTTTCTGTGCGAACACACAGTCACAGGTCTGTTTTACTGAACTCTTTGTTCTGCTTAGATCCGGCTCTGCGTGAAGAGAATCCAGCGAGGCCTCAGAGTGGCTCCCCACGGAGCAGGTTGGCATCAGTTCGGTCCCAGTTCGTAGATGCAGTGTCTGAACCTGTTCTGAACCAGCTGCTGGATCGGCTTTTGCAACGGGGCATAATAAATCAAGAAGAAATGGATTCAACCAGAACCAGAACCAGGGCTGACGGGGCTCGAGCGGTGATTGACATGGTGCGAAACAAAGGAACAGAAGCCAGTTCAGCTCTGATTGAGGACTTCAGTAGTTTGGATCCACACTGTTCCAGAAATCTGAATCTGAGCTGAAGCAGAACTGAGACTCTAAGTGAGTGAACAGAAAAAAATCTATGTCAAATCCATATGTGGTGTGATCAAACTTTGCATCAGTTCTTGTAGGTAAACTTTCACAGTCAGGGATTTTGTAGAGATTTAACATTAAACCAAACAGGTGCTTATGACCAAAACTTCAAAGTGAAGGTTTCACTGAAACAGAAACAGCTGTGTAGGAGGAATACAGCCAAACTCAGCTAACAAGGTGCTGAAGTTTCCTGTCAGTCAAACCTCAGGGCAAGACTGAGCACAGCAACAAGACACAAGGTCGTTATAGTGCAGCAGCAGTGTCTCTCCCAGGCACACAAACTGCTTTATTAGCAGTAAGTCAGATCAGTGTGCGGTAGTTTGTTTTTGATTCTTCATAGACTCATCCTGCTCTCTACCAGCACCTCGTTGTTGTTGCTGTGTTCCTCCAGACGGAGTTCGGTGTGAACAGGAAGGACTCTGCTGGTTCATCTCAGCTGACACCACAGGAGGCCTTTCTCACCTTTACTAAAATGAAGTGGAATTATAATTTAGCTGAATGCTCCTGATGAGTCTGTCATTTAAAAGTGGTGGAAGATGATGATGATGATGATGATGATGATGATGGCGGCCTGATGTGCTGCAGGTTATCTGTGAAGTCGTCTCTTTATACTTTGTTTTGTGTGGTGGGTTTTAGTGTTTGTTTTATATATTTGTATTGTATTTAGTGTTTTATGTTCAGAGTCCCTGCAGGATTTTCTGTCTTTGGAACATGATCAATAAATGAGCCTTAAATAGAGGCGTGATCTCTTTATGCAGTTACATCTGAATTTAAATCAATAGAAAATAAGTAAAGTTTCTCACTGTTTTTTATTCTGTTTTTTTCTTCTAACTTTTAATAAACTGGACCAGATTTAGTCTCACTCTGTTTAATCCACATCAAAAATCCATTTTGAGTTCAATCCAGCAGAGAGGAAATGATGGAGCAGCAGCTGACACTGAGCTGGGTTTAGAGAAAACTCCAGATCCATCTTGTTTAGACACCAGAACACTCAGCATGAATCAGTCTGATGGAAATCTGGGCTTCCTTAAAATAATATTTCTCTCTCATGTTTCTTATCTTTGTGTGTTTCCTCTGGTTCCCCGGCCTTCATCAGTCCTGACAGCATCATGTTCACCAGGGTTTGTCTTCTGGACTCAAGTGTGAACTTGTCTTCTGTTGCTTTTCAGTCAATAAATAAATTAACACAATGGATGTTTTTGGGGTGAAATCAGTGACATAAACTGGCGGCTGGTTCTCAGTAAAACCAGACAGCAGCATGTTGATGAACTTCTGCTGTCAGAAATCTTTAAACAGCAACTTTTCTTTGAACACTCAGCAAAAGAAAAGCATCTTTCACTTTGACTAGACTTTTGTTTTCAGAGGACTGAGTGCTGCCCTGATACACTCATGTACTTGTACTTGCAGTATGTCCTCCAGGCTGAGTACCCAGAAAGCCTGAAGTGTACTTTGGAGTTTCTTCAGAGAGTCGTGCTGCATGTGAACGGAGAAACACTGAAACCAGAGATCCTTTCCTTAAAAACAGGCTGTAAACTCTGAAAGCAGCTCAACACACACAGATTTGTAGTAAAAAGGTCTGCAGACTGGTGGAAACTGTTGGAAACTGTTTGCAGCTCCAAGTGTTTTCTTGGTAAAAGCGCTTTGTGTGTTCTTAGTGTTGATAAAAGGTTGTACATTTTAAAAGCTCTCCATGAGGAAACCCTTGTTATATTGTGTGCTACATAGATGCTCCATGGAGCCACAGTTTGACACAAAGTGGTTTTCTTAGTGTTGACTGGATGCCAACTTTGGCCTTGTGAGGAAGCAAAGCTCCGGGACAAGTGTGGTTGAGCCGTTGCATGGAACCCGCATGTTTGTTGATGAAAAGGATGTAGAGGAACACCTGCTATCACATCATGACCGCTCAAAGCCTCGTGAGGTTAGTCACAGTTGCAGTTGAGTCCATAAAATGTTAGATTTAACTCCTAGAAAAAGACCATTACTCTTCCCTTAAATGTCATTTCCTTAATATTTAGTACTGTAGTAACTTCAAGGCTGGCGATGTGCTGAGGTCACAAAGACAAGCGAAGAAACTCGATGTTACAGGAGTGTTTGGAGCCTCTTGTCGTCATGAAACGCCCCTAATGTTTGTCGACATGAGCCGAGGAGAACGGTAAGGCTACGCCACAGCGGTCACATCTATGACTGTTGACTCAGTCGTCCATAATGATAATTCCCCTGTTTGATTGTAGCTATTCATAAAAAGCTTAGAACAGCATGACCCTAACTTTACCACCATTCTCACTTAGAGCAACGAAAACATCATTTTTGGATATTTATATATTTTTCTCTCTTTCATCATTCCCATGTTGTGTGTTGTAATAGATTAGCCTATCCCCTGTATGTCGTCGATGAGCTTCTTCGAAGATGTGAGAACAAGCACATACACCTGCGAGTTGTCTATGACATTGCCTGTGTTGTTGCTTCCCATTTGCATGTGAGTAAATCTTTAAACTCCTGTGTAAAAGTGATAAGCACACAACATCTCCTTGGCCGTACCAGCATTTCACATTTATGGACACAAATTGCCATCAGGACCTGTGTCAGACATCATTCACTCTCTGCCTCCATTTTCCTGTCTATCCACTGCACTGCTGAAATGAAATAGAAATGCCTAGAAGTAATCTTAAAGCTTTTCCCGCCTGGTGTGTGTTCAGATCTAAATCAGTGATGCGCTGTTTAGGACACAATGGAGACTGCATATAGTGGTCACGTCTGTCCGGGTCAAAGCAGATGATTGTTATAACCAAAGTTTGTTTATTTCTCACGCAGGTTACCATCTAATGGGCATTTGTGTATTTATTACATGGATATAAATGAATGAAATGGGCCGTTTTGCTATTTACTGATTTAAAGATAAAATAACATAAGCTGAGTAAAGGCCCTCTCCTGCTCCAAGCCCTGTCTGAAGGCTCAGGGTGAAAGCATTACACTCCACTCACGTAACATACCGCAGGCCGAGCTACTGCTGCGATAGAGCGGGGATCCCAAAACGCGAGCGGAGCAGGAATGGAAGGGCCAAATAACTCGCTGAGCCTCAGCAGGAAAATATCCCATGATGCTTGACTGCGCGCAGCAAGCATATGTTCACACACAGCCTAAATGAACACTGTAAGCAGACTATTTGATTATTGTAAATTATTCTTATAAAAATAAATATATAGGATGGATTCTGTCCTTTTGGATCCATTGAAATAGTTGATCACTGCAACCGTGATCATTATGAGCAGTTTCCACTTTAGTAGGATAATGCTCAACCTCAGTGTAGGTGATATTGGATGACTTTGCTGTAATCGCAGATCAAGTACAGCACCAGACGGCTCGATGGTTTTGGGCTCACAGACGGGGAAGGAATGGAAAGTCTGCGGTCTTTCCTCCGAAGATTTGAAGAATTTTTTATTGTCTAGTGTTTGTCTCAGAGCGAGACATGGAGAGATGGAAGAAAAGGAAGCTGGAGCTAGCCCAAGAAAAACCAAAGTCAATAAGTAAGTAAACTGAAGTGAATGCTTGAACGTCTTGGAATATTGTACAAAGGTCACACATATAATTAACAAAGGATATTGAAAATCCGTTACACGTACTTTTCCATGTACAGTAGAGTATCCTGTAAGCTGTGTCGGTGAAGAAGTAACATGAAATGAAGTAATGTCATTATCTGTTCTCCAGACACTGTCTGTAGATGGAAAAGGGACGACATCACTAAGCTGATTCAGTTCTACATGTTCAAGTAAGCGTTCAGTTTGTTTATGGAAGACTATATGGGAATTACACCCATCTTAACTTGAGCGCCTTACTGATGTGCTTAAACATGGAAGCCTAGGTGTGATTACATAGCTATGAGCGAGACAATAACACCGTCCTGTTTTCTAGGAAACTGTCACAATGCAGTAATTAAATATGGTGTGATTAATAATCAATTAGCACCAAGCTCCCCCTGTAACGAACAATGTTTGGTCAGGTGCAGCACAGGAATGTTTTCTGGTTGGTAATTACTGATACTTTTTATAATATACAGATCTGGGACTCGTGAGTCACACATGGAGGATGAAACAGAGTAAGTAAGCAGTATCAGTCTGTTACTGTTCTCTGATTAACAGTCATTTTTACTCTCTGACCATTGTAGAAAGAGAACTCTCTGCTAAACATGGAGAAAAAACAGAGCATTCGGAGAAGATGGCAAGAATCTGATTTAATCTTCCAGTCCACCCTTAAAGATGACCGTGATGTCAGAGGCCAACTGATCTGGAAGGCTAGAGCTGAATCAAAGGAGAGAGCCGTCCTCCTCCATCTGAAGAGGAAATATCCAGC